AGAATACTTTCTGTTTTCTTTTGTAATCCTTACAATATGTATTGTAAATTACTTTATCAAAGCTAATAAACAAGGCTGAGTCAGCGAAAAAAAAAAAAAAAAAATCAATATAGTAAAGATAAGTCTTTTAGTGAATCTCAGATGGCTTTTTCTATGCTACAAAAAATTGATAATTATTGGAATATCATGAGTGATTCATTAATAATATTGATGATACTGGATTCTAGATATAAGCTTGCAAATTTTTCAGAAGGAGAAAATCTATTTCAGCTATTAATAAAATTAGAGCAATAATGGGTTTATATTTTCTTGACAAATTATTAAATTTATCTGATGATACAAGTATTACAAATAATAATTAAAAAAATTTACAAGATTTTTTTGTTATTTTAGTTAAAAACCATAATCAGATTCAAAAAACTAATAATAAAAGAACAAATAATGAGCTAGATTGATATCTTGCAAGTTCTGTCTTTTCTGAAATAGATCCACTTACAGTATATGGTGACATGCACATACTTTAGAATTTCTGATAATAAGCAAAATAGCTCGAGATTATTTAATAATAAAAGTTACAAATGTTCCATATGAACAAGCTTTTTCAATTGCTGGAAATACTATTACAAAATGAATCCAAAAATAACATGAGCAAGTTTATGTTTAAAGAGTTGAATAGACAAAAATATTAATTATGTAGAGTAAGAAAAGAATAGTTTTTAGTCAAGTATTATGTGCAAAATATTTTAAATAAATTCGTTTTATTTACTTTGCAAATTGGTTTATAATACTATTATTTATTTTGAATATTATACTGTATATAAAAAAATATGTTGTGTTGCATAATGTAATCAGTATACATCAAAGTATAAAATCATGAACTTGGATAATTGAGCTTAGTGGTTCAAGAACTATAAAAAAAAAGTAAAAATAGTATATATATGAGAATAAGTCTTAACTCTAGTTAGAATTGTAATAAACTTGTATTCTTGTTTTTTTTGCGATATGTTTTAATAAAGAATCTTATAATTCACCTTAAAGACATGTTTTTTAAACCGTGTGCCTCTAAAGGAAATGCAGCATAAAAGATTATGCTTTCTTGTATTGCCTGTGAATAAAAAGACTGAATTATCACTCTGTCAAGCCTAAACACATCTAAGCGAATTAAAGCCTTACTATTAATTAGGAACACCTGATATGCAACAAACAGATGTTTCGAGATAGCGACTGATCCACCATGCATACAACACTAGTAATCAATTATTTGTTATTTTTTTAATACTAAATCTTAAGAATATAATATTGATACTTAACTATATATTTTTTCTTATATGTAGACGTAAACACTATAAATGAGATCATGGGTCAAACCGGGCCTTATTTGACCTGACCTATTACATCATCAATTTGCCCTGGCCTGATTTGGCTTGACCATTACATGATTATAACCCGACCCGACCTATTATCTTACTAACCTGACCCTGACCTGATTTGACTCAACCTATTACTTTTTAAATAAATCACTCAAAAAATATACCTTATAAACAAAAAAGTTTTAATTATTGAGACAATTTTTTGAGTCAGAATAAATAAAGTTCGTTGAGAATTTAATAGTGTTCTTAAGGGTCGAAAGCTCGTAGTTATGAATAAAACAGGAATGGCTAGTGAAGAATGACATAAATTTAGTGATCATCTTAAAGCGTATATATTAGAGATAAAGGTAAGTATAGAGCACCAAGGCGTTGATGTTGACGATGTCAGGATTATACAGCATATATGGTCACTAGTAACCATGACGTTCCGCTTAAAGTGGAAATTGGTGATGGGTGTATAGTATGTTTTGCGTATATCCACGATATAGAGGTAATAGGTCATATTTTAGGACTTTAGTTAAAGTTTTTAATCAGCCTGACACACCAGGAATGGTTGTAACATATCTTTTTAATCGGGATTTATCAAACTGGGATCCAGATCTACTAAAATGAAAACAGAGACAATATGTGATCAGCCTCTTGACCCTACACGTTTCATAATACAATATATTTCATTACGACTTGGAAATCAGATTGAGAAACCAATTTATATGGATCTATATCAATATTATCTCACTTGGCGCAGGGATAATGGTGAAAATTCATATACTAATAAAAAATTCGGAAAAACACTTCCAACCGTTGGTATAGAACGAAAACAACTACGGGTTAATGGAAAGAGAGAATGAGTCTACATCCTCGACCGATCCAAAATAGTGAGCGAACTTCATAAATCTATAGGAGAGATCGAAGAATTTTCCGACCCACCTCAAACCGAGATATCAGCTAACATACCCACAGAAATTCTAATGTTTGATATACCTGAAATTATAATGCTAGAGCCAAAAAAAAATAGAGACCACCAATCGCATCAAAAAAGATAAGTCTACCTACCCGTTACTAACACGACCCAAGACCTCTTCGATTATATAACAGATCAAGATGAAAGTTCAGTTGCTTCGTCATCCAAAACTACTAACATATCCATAACTCCCGAATCACGAATGTAGAACCTTTAGACGATAAATCCTAACTTCCTTCTGAGATTGTTGAATCGATGGGTGATGAGCCCGAATTATCTTCCAACACACCTGTTGATGATTAACCCGTGATCTGACATATCCATTAATGATTAGCCCGATCCAATAACGAAGTATCTCCCCAGCAAATATAATACTCACGCGGATATCAACGAGAGGCTCGTCTTCGTAAAAAAGCCATCAAACTTGGTGAGGATCCCGACAAATTCATTACCATAACCGAAAAAGATAAGTCGATTCCATAGCATTCTGTGATAGAATGCAGACTGATGCGAAAATGTGAAGTTATAAAAAGGAGGCCGAAGAAGATCCCCACTGATATATGGACATGACAGTGCGAGAAATATTAATAAGTGAAGAAATAATCCATCGTTCTCTCGAGGAAGATGGAATTATCTCATCACGACTGGATACCGACGAGAACTGGAAAAAAGCGGTTAGTATATTCCAGGAAAATGTTATGTTATGATAATTGTCAAGTCAGGCCCTTTTGGGCTACCCTTTGGGTCATAAGGAGCGAACAAGGTGAGTTTCGTAGGTAGGAGCTTTTATATAGGTAGATTTTTTGCTCTCTACAACCAGTTAATATAAAAATTTTCGATAAAAATATCTTTCATAGAAAGTGCATCTTCGTACATTAATATAGCTTCATTATAACCCTTTGGGTCGTCCTTCAAGCAATGGAACTTTATCCCTTTCATCATCAATTATATATCTAAATTTGTCTTTTGTTTCTCGTACTAGTCATTAAAATAAACTCTCTTAGCTTGAATTGCGCAATATTCCGTGTAGGATAAAGTATGTTTGCCACATATGCTGCAGGGAGTTTTTTGCATATTTTTTTTATATATATTCTCCAGTGTTTAGCACAACCCGTAATACGAGTGCAGATTTTTCCACAAACCGATTCATCCCTCTTGATGTATTGACAAGTTACACGATGATTATTTGAATCGAGACATCGACTCTCCATAATAATTTTGGTATAAGGATGGTATAACTGTCTTTAATTTTTAAAGTAAGTATATTGTTTTAATATAGAAATGCTATTTATAACATATAATTCGACGAATCCGAAGAAGTTCTCACCTTATCCTCTAATCGTTGTATCAAAAAGAATGGGAAGCTGTACAAAAGGCTTTTACGCGAACGGTATAAATATGTTAAAGATCTTTCGCATTATTTAGAAGTCCCGCCGATAGATATGGGTGAATACGGTACAATTTATCCTTTAGCTGATTTCTACCATTCCGCTTTATTTCCTCCTCTTTCTGCTTTAGCGAAAATGATGGATGTATATAGAAGATATCCTATTACTACGGTATCTGCTATCGAGGGAGGAATGAGTTTATTCACCATAGAAAGAAACGGTCAAACCTCATTACAAAATTTAATTCAGATGAATTATTCATAAGATATCTTATCTATATTATTAGAAATGTGCTGGAATGATAAGGTAACTCGAGAATGGGGGAGACATACTAGCAAAATTTCTTCACCGCCCATATTTAATCTTATAAAAGCACAGACCAAACGCACTGTATGATGCTTTTACCAAATCGGATGTCTTAGGGTCAGAGTATATACTTGCTTTAGCCAAAGAATTATACTAAACAATAAAACACAATGTCCAATTATTATAGCCTGGATCGTGACCCAAAGCTATAAAAATTTTTATTTATATCTTATGTATTGATATATTTCAAATCAATGTCCCAGGTGCCCATGTGTAGACATATATTCTCATTTTCTATTTATAGGAGGAAAAAGGCATAATCAATTTTAATTTGAAAAAATATATTCTATATATATACCTCGACTAATAATAATCTACAAATTTAACTATACCATACTATATTATCTATGTCCTCTGCTGTGACAAAAATCATTAAAATCTACAAGATATCTCCTCAAATGACTCCATCTGAGCTTAGCAGATACACAGATGAATTAACTAAAGATCTTTCTCGTGGATTTAGAGATCAGGCCCGAAGGCGTCTTAGACAAATAGGATATAACGAGGAACAGGTGTGTGCTCTTGTTCCTTTTCAAAAATCTGAGAGATATACTCCTTAGGGGAATTCCATCAAAGATATGGACCAAAGTATTCTAAAAAATAATAATTTATCACATATGGAAATTAATGAAGATGCATCAATTGCTTATTCTCATGAAAGTGCCACCGATATAGCTAAATCCTCACGACTTTCATACCTCCGAAGAGATTTACGCAAAAATGGGGCATCTGAGGATGTGATCGAGACGACAAAACATTCTTGGTTAACTGAAGAATATAATCGTCTTCAAAAAATGAGACGAGAAATGCTCACCTGTCAAAAACTAGATCTTCCCGATCATTTTATGCCTGAAGCTATACTTGAAAGGCTCCAAGGATACAGCATATATGATAGTCCTTCTGAACAAGCTCTTGCCGATATAATTACAATGCTCTGTATGCGTCCTGCTGAAGTTACAACTCTTCATATTGCCAATGGATACGTAACAGAATATGCTAAAGGTCGTGGAATAGGCCTAAGAAATTCTGTTAAATGGAAAAATATGAAAAACGAGCTTGTGAATTACTCACTTGGATTCAAAAAGCAATTGCAAATGACACTTTGTGGGATCCAGGAATACCATGTGTAAAGTGGTTCAATTCATTTCTAAAGTCTTATGGTATTAAGACAAGTGATTTACATTGGGGCAAACTATACTACTATGATACATGAACCCGAAAATCCTGGCCAAAGATTAAAAATTATGCGAGAAGCTTTAAGGCACAATCCGAAATATGCATCACCAGTAGAGCATTCTGCTCGTTTACCTTATAGGGCTATCGGGTGTGAACCAGTGCATAAGATTCCCAAAGGTAACCCCATGGCTATATTTTCGACATCTAAGCCCAAAATAGAGAGTAGTGGTTTGAATGATATTATGAGTATATATGGAGAAATTTCTGATGATGAGAATTAATAGTACGTACCTCTTTACTTTCTCCGTATGAATACGCATTTCAGATTCAAATTCTGAGTTAGATTCAGAAGAGGCATATCAATATTTACTTTTTTTTCTGGGTATCTTGCGTTTTTTGATAGTATTTGGATCTGCTATAAAGTTTATAATATTTTGACGAATCTCGGGTTTTATTATTTCAAGTAATTCACGAAGATAAATTTGAATTTCTTTATCTAGTACCTGTCTGGTAAGATCCATTCCATTTATATCGTCAATTCGAGATGAAACTTCATCTATTTCCAAACCTGGCTCTTTTGCTTCTTCGTATGTAATAACTGAGAATTCTGAGTCCGGATCAGCTATGCCTTCCACAACTTCACCATTGATATCAATCGAACATTGGTTAAAGTTTTTTATGGATCCTTCCACTCGGTTGTCATTGATATTGTTATCGGTTTCAGTCATTGTAATATTAAATTATTTATTAGTATGCCACAAAAAAATGTGATATTAAACATATATTTAAATAAAGCATTACACTGATAACTTTATCCTGCGAAATCAATAAAGTACCAGTAACCGTTATATTGGATTCTGGCACTAATTGTAATATTATAGGTAAGGAAGTAGTAAATGGAGTAGGCTTGAAAATTGATAATACCTCATATACAGAAATTTACAGCCACATTAGCAAGCTCAATATATTGGGAGTAATTCATGCAATAGAAATTTCGGTCCTGTCTCAAGATCAGAAATGGGAGATAGTAGAAGTTAGTGATGTTTTCGTTACCAATAAACCAGAACTTGAATCTGTACTGATATTGAGTCAGCCATGGTTCCAGGAAAATGCAATGAAAGTGGACTTCCAAATAAAACTCTTACATTGCTCGATATGACTAGTTATGAGGTTAAGTGCAATTGAGAATATCTTGAAAATGCGTAGTATACAGTATGTGCCTAAAATAATTATCCAAACATTAGTTATTTTTTCGATTAAAGATATATGATATACAACTTTAGAATGAGGCAACTAAGTATTTTTTATTTACCCGAATTACTAGAACAGATCTTACACTTTTTAGAAATTGATCTATCCCTCTATCTCGCTTTGTTTTTTAACCGTCTTTGGTATTACCGCAGCGCACCAATTCTAGGGAGACGCATTGAGCAAAAATGTTATGATATCCATTACGGACATTATTTTCCAGGTGAATATAAATATTGTGAACGATATCGAATACGGTTAGAAAGTTTCATAAAAATAATATGCGGGAAGAAAAAACCGATTTAGGCCTCAAACTTGAAAAACTTAAAAATTTCACATTATCATTCAACACAAACAAATTAATTAGATCTATCATAAATTATTGCCCAAATATAATTCATTTGGACTTTAAAAATAGCGTGGGCGTTAGTGATGAGACTTTAATTAAAATAGTTTCTTCGTATCCAAATTTAAACCATCTTAATTTATGAGGAATCAAATGATATCTGTGTTGTGAAATGGCGTAAACATGTAATAAATTAGAATATCTAAATATTTCTTATTTTAGAAGTATTACTGATGAATAATTGATGGAAATTGAAGAATTATGTGTAATTTGCAAGAATTTTATTTCAGGGAAGCATATTGGATTACTGATAAATCTATAAGTCATATCTTAAATTTTTGCATCAACTTACGATCTTTAGATATTGCATTTAGCCACGGAGAAATCAAGGATGCTGATATATTAATACAAGCACATCTCAAAATAGAATATCTCGATTTCGATGGTGTTATGGCCTTTCAAAAAGATTCTTTTATTGTGTCTGTTGTTAGATCTCCGAATTAATATATTTTGATATTTCTGATAACGATATCGGAAATAAGGTTGTTGAAGCAGTAGCATATACATGCCATAAATTGGGATATCTTGATCTTGGAGGATGTGGATTCATTACCGAATCATCAATATGTAATGCTATTCGCTCTTGTCCTAAACTTCAACATCTCAATCTTGGATTTTGAGATATTTTCAATACAACCATCGAAGAAATAGCTTGTTCGTGTCCTAATTTAAAATATCTTGGTTTCGAAGGTCGCGAAGCAAATATTAGTAAAAAAAATTGTAAAACGGCTTAATCCAAGTATACGTATTGAAAAATAATATTAATCACATGAACAGTCCGATCCGATTCTGAATCGTCTGACATTTCCAATTCTGATACCGATGACGATAATGAACAGAATTTAGAAGAACCGCCTCGACCTATTCCAATCATCACCGGTATTTTAGATGGTGAGATCAGATGTGGTGGCATATATCCTTACTTCATAAGTGATCAGACTGGCCCAGAACGTAAAAATATAATTAATAGTCTTATTCGAAACATTCCTCAATGATTATTTCATCATTCATGGCAAGGTCTTTAGGATAGATAATTATCGATATGCTTTGAAGGAGCGATGACATGTGTAAGCTCTGCAATAAATCTATATATACAGTATATACAGTATATTGGTATTGATTTTTTGTTTATTTACCTAATTTAGGGAAAACAAGTCGACCTACTATTTGCATATCTATTTTTTCGCTTAAATTATTAAATCTCAAAGAAGATATACCATGAATTTTAAATAAAATGTACACGTTTGATATGAAGAACATGCATACATATATCCTGCTTATTGTTCCAGATACTATATCTGAAATTATTCGATATCTTCCATTAGAGGATCTTGAAAAATATGCTAGACAAATCACATATAGTATAAAGAAATTAAGCATGAGTTCCAAAAAATGTGGGAAATACAGTATTTGAATTTTATAAATTAGAAATCGAACAAAGGGAATAGAAAGACAAGTGAAAGAGAAATATTCTTGTTATAGTTTAGAGCTTCAAGGATATATACATAGAGGATTATGGGAAATATTTTATGAAGAGTTATTCGAGAGCGCAAAAAAACAGGCGGGGTTTGAAAAAAATATGCTAACTAATGGTACGTTTTATGTTCAGGAAAAGGAAATTGTTAAATACAATATACAGCAGATAGTTGATGGAGGAATCCCTTAGGGATATGTAGATAATTAGGATATTCCAGAACTACTCGAGTTGGATTAGATATGAGCATATTAAACGCAAATTATGTCACCTTTTGATTCGAAATTTGAATCGATGAAATTAGTAAGTATATGTTAAGATGGGTCGTAATAATCAGCGTAAAATAATGGATAAATTTCACTGATAATCAAAAACAATGTTTACAACTGCTCAAAAGTAATAAATATGAGCATGTGTACGATCCGAAAACTAGATTTATAAGAATTATTATTAATTTCACTGGTCATATGACTGGGGTATTCAATTATGCTAAGTTACGAGAATATTTGAAAGCAAATATGTCATGTTTCAATGAGCCCTCAAGAAAGCGATGTCATGTGTAAATCCGCATATATAGTGGGATCTCTATTTTTTTAAAAAATTGCCGAACGGCAGTTACATCATGTGAATATGAGTAGAGGTTCTATGCTCTTCATACTCATTTTTTATCTATAATTTTAATAAACTAATATTATCTGCCGATGAATTGATATCAGTTATTGTTCTCTCAGATTCAGTTTGAACCGTTCTTGAATTGCCTTGTATTGTTTCTATTTGCCTATTTTGAAATAAAACTTAATTCGTAAAATATTGCCATCTCTGACAATTGAACAGCATAAAGTATTTACGTTTCAGAAAACAAGACAATGACACCAAGAATAGCCACTGTGTGACTGCTTCTGGAAATTCCGAACCTAATACTCGCGCCGATCTTTCTGTGCACGATATCACGTTGGATGAAAATCTTGCTACCGAGCTTGATAATCGTGTTGCCAGAATTGCAACCGAACTTGTTGATTGCGGTGAAAAAATTACAGAAATACTCTATGAAATCGAACGAGTCCTTCAAACCCACCACAACGAAACCGATCGAAATATTAAGAAGACGACGGTACAAGGGTTTTATGAAAGAATTATTAAAAAGAAGGATGGTTACATTAGACCAAATCGGTTCGTGGATAGATAGTAAAACAAACAACTTAGGTAGAATATTGAGTAGTGAGATGGAACCGCCATCCTTGCTTTGCGAGGGGTTTAGGGGTCGGCGGGCGTGATGTTTTATTCCCCCCTTTAAACGAAAACTACTCAATCGTTTTATATAATTAATTAACTGGTCTCTTACCCTTGCATTTATTTAAAAAAAAAGGCTTGGTTAGTCAAGTATCGCAGTAGAAGCTCTAATTCTCGAAGAAATAAAAATACTATTTGACCTTTTAACTTCTTGAGATCATACTTTCGTGATGGGATTGATCCCTGCAAATTATGTACAGGTATATCATTAATCAGATGAATTCGTATACGTATTCCACAAAGTACTGTATACGTAGTTGGGATATTATCAGAAAATCAATAAAATGCGTAAATGTAATTGATCACGTGAATAATAGAGTGGCTTGGAAGTTGTGTTACCAATAATAACCAGTCGGAAAGATTAGCGTGTAACGTGTTTCGCGTTTGTTCTTATAGATTTTCTTCTTCATAGTTTGAAAAATGAAAACAGCCTTTTTTCAGAAACTTCGAATTAGTCGTCTTTTATAACTTTCTCAACTTTCGACAGAATGAAGATAATTGGACATATAATAAACAAAAAGAACATAATACATATTTGAGAACTGTGGGTGTAATAGTAGCAACCGACTCGAACGAACAACGATTTGTGGGAACTTCGGCTCTGATTAACTTTACAGTTAAGTGTTTATTTTAGAGTAAGAGTTAAATTTGGCATATCAACAACAACTTGACAATCTGGACAGTTCGTTATATTGATCCATTTGTGTTAGATGCGAACCTGTCCTAAGCTAAGTTGTTGATGATCCATTCGTGTTCGATGTGTTTACGAATACCAGCTGACAATCACACAGTTATTATAGGTTATCGCTAATTAATCTCTCATAAATAAATAGAAAGAGATGAATACTGGGGAGGTAAGGGGCTTCTGGAAAGATGTTGAAAAGGATAGAATTGCTAAGGAACACGAAACTACTCTCGGAAATTTGGATGTAAATATTTGCTCTAAATCCTTTTGACTTTTATAACTATTAATAATCTTATACTTCTTATATGGAATTTAGAAAAAGGTTAGTATATAACGTAATTTTTTGTTCGCTTTTGGATGAATGTGTTGTTTGATTGCATCCCATTCAAAGACGACAGTTTACAAGATGTAAATTTCTTACTCAACAGATCCTCAAAAATATATCGACATCTGTGTTTATTAGTAAAATGTGGACAAATTGGGTACCATTTAAATTTACGCTTCTGGATTTTATAAGATGCATACCATTGATGGAGTCCATTTCCACATGCCCAGAGATATACGTCGAACCCATTTATATGACCAGTTTTACCAAGACACTCCTCACCACGCTTCCTGACATATT